TACACATCTACTTGATCGCTTCACACTTTTCACACTGAAGGCGTAGTTTTGTGTTTTCAGTAAAATACCAAAGAAAATCTAAAAGGAGTTATAATTAAAATATTGCAACCAGACTTCCGTAAATTGCGTATTGCATATCTTTCAAACGTTAATTCAGCTCTGATTATACTTGCCCAATGCAGTTTGCTCTTGGTGGTTCAGTTTTAAATAAAGTATGAATCTGCTCAATTCCTCCAAACACAGGGAAAACACCGCCGATCGCTAAATCGCCGTCTTTGAACAGACCAGATTTTGTATATTTCCCCAGTATCCGGCAGGACACATCGCCGTTCACCTGAAAAGTGAAACAGAAAATGAGAACCATGAGAATGTGTGTGTACATTATGATGTACTTTGTCGAAAGATAAACGAGACAATGAAATTAAAGTAGTTCCTGTGTCATTTTATAGACCGGAAAATACCCTCAGGGCCCCTGTGCATAAACTAGTGACACTGACAGTGTGAAGTAAACAGTGGTCTCCCAAGAGGTGATTTTACTCCGCATGAAAGGGGTGTTCGTATGGTGTGATACACATCTACAGTATGTGTAAGGTGTGCAGAAAATACCCGTGTTTTCAGTTAACGCAACCATTAAATAAATATTAAACGAAAAGGAAACTTGGAAGGTTTAAATAAGAGCAAAATATTACAACGGATGAATCAATCAGAAAACTGTTCGGCTCTGCGTAAACAATCTTGACTTTCAGTGTCAGCACCACGGAGCTGTCCATTGTAAAACAAGCATAAACTATATTATCTCTAAACAGTACCATAATATTATTAAACTGTCTGTGGTATAATGGTATAAACACGTTTTTTTATGGATCTCATAAATGTTTGAAGTGACTTAGTGCTCTTTTTCCATACATTTATGCTACCTAGTTAACCGGTACATCTTTAAAAATATACCGATAAGCTGAATTCATTGAACATTTCTAGTCTTGAACTGACAAAAACAGGAGGACCTAATGCAAGCATTCAGAATCCTCAAAGCATTGACAACACCAACCCAGTGGATTTCTTCATAATGAGCCGGTTTGCTTCATTTCACACGGGGGAAGCTATTGACAGCGGGTTTTGGAAGGTTATTGAACAAGCTCCCCAGCCACGCTGTTGACACCCATTCCCTTAAAAAAAAACAGCTGGATAAGAAATGTGCATCAATTATCTACTAACTAGCAAATGGTCTGGAAGGGTGAAATGATCTCCACTCACTAGTAACCTTTCTCATAGTCTTGTGATTAAACTGGTGTGTAGAGTGTATAAGATGCTGTGTGTAGTAAAATGAAAGAGGATATTGGCCAGACAGAGGAGATGTGCATGTAACTATGCATGTATGCGAAGTCAGCAGATATTAAA